CCGGCTGACAGCAGCTACTTCAATTACCCTGGCTATATGCTTGAAGAGTCCTTCAAAGCGAAAGCTGGGGTCTGCTTGTTTGTCCGGGCAGATGTTTGCTGTCGCCGTCTGCGTCATTTGGAGGACCCCTCCTTCTCCATCCTTGGGGTACATGTTGACCTAGGCAGTCATTGCAGTGTCTACATTTGCCTCTACAGATCCCACCACGGCGACATGGAGACAACTCGTCTCATAGACCACCTTACTCGGGCGGCAGATGACGCGCAGGTGCAGTTTTCTACAGCGGAATTGGTGTTTTTAGGGGACTTCAATGCTCACCATGAGTCGCGGTTAAGTTCCTCTAAAACTGACCATGCTGGAAGAACTGCCCACACATTCGCTCTCACACACGATTTAACCCAACTGGTAAACCAGCCCACCCGGATTCCAGATAGGGTTGGTGACGCGCCCTCTTTGTTGGACCTTCTGCTGACGTCTCGCCCGGCTGGATATCGGGTGGAGGTCCAAGCCCCTCTGGGCACTTCGGATCACTGCTTGATATCCACTAAAGTGGCAACGTTACTGCCACCACCACCTACTGTGGCTAAACGCCGCATTTGGCATTATGCGTCGGCAGATTGGGACGGAATGCGGGACTATTTTGCATCCGTTCCTTGACGGCAGCGCTGTTTTAGTGAGGTGGATCCAACAGCTAGCGCGACTGCCGTTGCTGATGAGATCTTAATCGGGATGGAATACTACATCCCACATTCGGATCTCGTCAGTAAAGGGAGGCGCAACCGCTGGTTCAACCGCGAGTGTGCTGTGGCTGTTGAGAACAAACAGACTGCATACCGCGCTTGGATCAAGGGTCGACCTTCAGACGATCCCAATGCGAACTCACTTAAAACAGCCTACAATAATGCCACCAGGTCTTGCAAAAGAGCGTACATCAGAGCGGATGCTCAGCGCGTCGCACGAGTTGGCCAAGAACTCCTGACGCATCCCACTGGTAGTCGTAGTTACTGGCGTCTGGCCAGAGCCGTTGCGTCGAACTTCTGCCAGCCCTCGCTGCCCCCGCTGAGATATTCTGACGGCAATCTAGTCCACAAGCCGCAAGATAAAGCCGACCTCGTGGCAAATCTGTTTGCGGCTAACTCATGTCTCGACGACTGTAATGCACAGCCACTAACTCTACCTCACTGTGGCTACACGATGTCTGATATTCGTATCAGACAATGCGATGTGCGTACGCAGCTGCAGTCTCTCGACGTCCGGAAAGCTAGTGGTCCTGATGGTATCCCAGCGATCGTACTTAGGAACTGCGCAGCTGAGTTGACCCCCGTGCTAACGCGACTGTTTCGTCTGTCACTCTCTTCAGGTCGTGTGCCGGACTCTTGGAGAGAGGCTAATGTGCAACCAGTTCCCAAAAAAGGCGACCGATCAGACCCGCATAATTACCGTCCCATAGCCATTACTTCCATAATATGCAAGGTTTTAGAGCGGATCCTTAACAAACAACTGGCCCAATACCTAGAAGATCACTCCATAATTAGTGATCGGCAGTATGGGTTTCGTCCGAAACGATCAACGGGTGACCTTCTAGCGTACTTGTCGCATATTTGGGGTGAGGCTAGAGACAAACGTGGCGAGTCGTTGGCTGTTAGCCTCGACATAGCCAAAGCGCTCGATCGGGTCTGGCACAAAGCTCTTCTCTCCAAGCTCCCGGCGTACGGTATGCCAGCACAGTTATGCAGCTGGATTGCCGATTTCCTTCGTGAGCGGAGAATTCGCGTCGTTTCTGACGGCATCATTTCGAGGTTCGTGAATATGAACGCCGGCGTACTGCAGGGATCCGTCCTATCTCCCACGCTTTTCCTTCTGCATATCAATGATATGCTTCCACTTGGGAATATTCATTGTTATGCAGATGATAGCACTGTTCATGGGGGATATCACGGATTCCCCGCAGCTGGGCGCGCCGATACTGACAGAGAGCGATCTAATCTTGTCCGTGGGCTCAATAGGATATTGGACCTCATCTCTGCATGGGGATCTAGAAATCTTGTTGAGTTCAACGCTAAGAAAACACAGGTTTGCGCGTTAATAACAAAATTGTCGCCGTTCCTTCCCATGCCTTCTCTGATGAGCATAGCACTTTTACCTCAGAGCAGTTTTACCTTGCTCGGTATGGAAATCTGCTGTGATTTGAATCCAAGGAGCTACATTGAATCTGTGATCAAAACAGCTTCACGGAAACTCGGAGTCCTGAACTAGGTGCGACGTTTTTTCACGCCGGACCAGTTATGCCTGCTGTACTGTCTTGCGTTGAGTATTGTTCGCACTTGTGGGACGGCTCCACCAAGTACCTAGTCGATGCCTTGGATAAATTACAGCGTCGTGCTACTCGAATTATAGGCGACGAAGAGGTCTCATCACGCCTTGAACCTCTGCAACTGCGTAGAGATGTTGCATCGCTTAGCGCCTTTTACCGCATGTACCATGGTGAGTGCTCTGAAGAGCTGTTCAACCTCATCCCCCCTTCCCCGTTCCTGCTCAGAAGCACGCGTGCTGGCCTTCGTAGTCACCGTTTCACTACCTGCCGCATTCCATCGCGTACTAAAAGGTTCGGTGGCTCCTTTCTCTGCCGCACGGTTGACAAATGGAACTCCCTTCCGGCACATGTCTTCCCTCCCTCTTATGATATGGTCCTTCAAACGAGCCGTGAAGAGGCATATTGTAGGCAAGCAGGGTGGAGGTGGCTAGTGCAGTGAGGGTTTCGTCGCTGCACTAGGTTCCTTTGCGTTTGGATACCACTTTCCACTTAACATCAGGTGGAGTGGAGTCATTTGCCTGTCATGTATAAAAAAAAAATTTTCCTGTCATACACTGGTACAATTTTAGAGGTAGCGGAAAACTAGAATATATTAATAATGCCTATGATTATTTTAAATTTTATAGTTCCTAGAAGATAAATGACCAAACGTTTAATATGTTAACATACCTAGGTAGTCAGTATAACTGATAATTAAGTACTTTTTTGGCAAAATACGTGATTTTCCGTCTAAAAGCGTCAACTACAGGGACATTTACCTTAAATTTCTAGACTCAAATATAGTGATGTTCATTTACGATGATTGGATGTTTATCGACAATTAATTTTTACTGAAATTTAGAGGATGGAAAAAAATATAGTCTAAGATTCGAGTTTACGCATGACAGTGACAGCTTCACCAACCCGTGGTAATGTATAATGGAAAACTGACACTGGCGATGATAGCCACAATTTTTATAATATTCTTATAAAACTGACACTGGCCCAAGTCTAGTGGCCGCCATTAAGGAAGTTATAATATGGAAAAGATCGCGAACTTCGTGGGAGATAATCGCAAATCGCGATTATCGCGGCAACTTTAGACCAACATGGTCTTTGTATTGCTGGCTTTATAAAATAAGAATTTTTAGTAGTTAGAGTTGTCAGTGGGAAAAAATCGGAAATGAGTGGATAATTTTGTTTTCAGGAACTGAGAATGCCTAGTAAATGAGTCTTGTTTAATCTAAATTAAATATGAAATTATTTACCAATAAACCTAATGATGGAGTTGCATTATCATGTAGTCTAGTTACATTCAAATTTATGTTAAAATTTGACTCTTCAAAATGAAGCGAATAAAATAAATCAAGATGGTCTTCATTGACTTACAATTATATGGACGTCGGGTCCGCGCTAAAAAGTGTCCGCACTTGTAAGGCGCTAAAATCGTATACAGAGCGCGACACTCCGCTTTAGTCTTCATTTGTTCTACTGACAGCGCGATACTGCGATGACATTACAATTTAAATTTCGAATAGGTTGACTTGGGACATTTTTTTCGTGGTTTTTGTATTAGACCCGTCGTCCATTTATTTGTAAGTCAATGATTGATTCAATGTTTATATTCGGCACTATTATAAGGCTGTATGATTTCCAACCCTTCTTTTTTCTTTTTTGATTTGTAGGCAAACTTGAAATAGTTTAAAATAATAATAATAAAATAATAAAAACGTCGTAGTGAATTGTTTTAATAACAGAATATCGATCATATGTCTGCTTACAAGAACAACACTATCTCAAAATAATTGTTATCAACAATCATCAAAATATACTAACAAACAGGCAATCTAAAGTAATCAAAGCAAAATTCTGCAAGACCTATGAATAAACTACTTAATGAGCCTAATTACATGACATATTTTGGCTATTGTATGATTTATAGGCAGAAAAATAACAAATGCTGGTGTAATGTAATTCGGTTGATTTCTGCTTTTTCTACTGCTGCACCCCTTAATGCTGCAGCGACGCATTTTTATCAATACTTAGTTGTTCTCCCTGTCAATATTTTTGTCCATTTCATTGCAATTCATGCGAATAATTCACTAAAACATTTGGCCCAACATTGGTTTTGACATTTGATGTACTTCCCTTGGACAACCAGATGCGGATGTCAAAGAGTACTCCACTTCACTTTTTATTTTTATGGCTCCATCAATATGAGAACTGATGATTTTGCCAATGTCACAGTTGAAAGAAAAAAAACGAAACAAAAAAAAAAAAAATTTTTCGCTAAGCTTTCACTTTTTATTTTTATAAAAATTGTAAAATGAGGACAGTTGGCATTTAAGATGACGTTACGTATTTTCGATTCCCGTGTTTGACATAAATCAATGTAGTGCTATCTCTTCTGGCTTACGACACTTATTTGGTGACGGCACGCAGTAGTTAAACAAAGACAATAAAATGTTTATGCTTTCAATGTCTAAATGCATCATATACATACTCAATACTTAAAATAAATTATAAATTAGTTTCCATAGTCTAAGTATACATATAACGTCTGATTTATATAAGTCAATATAACATGTCCTTTGGTTTCCATAGTCTAAGGAATTGTCATAAGGCATATGTAATTTTTTTTTAAATAGTTCTTTCAGTATCTGTACCTTAGTCACGTGTTATTATAAATCAAAATTATTTACCACTTAAAATTCTTTCGTAGCTCTGTTGTAGAATTCTCTCCTGTAATGCAACAATGAAGTCGAGTTTATTGTAAGAATCATTTTATTCACATTTCTCGTTTTTAATATATCTGATAGGCAACAATTGGGATTCCACCAACTATTTAACACGAAATCGGCTTAGTCTTTCAAAAATACTTTTACGGTAATAAGAATGTAAAAATCTTTTTGGCCAGTAACGAATCGTGTCATTATTATCTCAACATGGGGCATTTTCTGATGATTGCCTTAGACCGATAACTAATTATAGTTTGTGGAATACTAAATATTTGTTGTTTGAACCAAACTATAACGCATTTCAACCACAACGTTACGATGACTACTAATGTGTTCTGATCTGATCATAAATTATAAGCAGCACGTCTCTCATTCATTGTTAACATGTTTGGACATAAAGTTGCAAGAAAAGGTTTTGCTGTGTACATAATATATTACGTTTCGAATTTGGCTACTTTGTGTTGAGTGAAACTATGTGGGCTAGACGAGTTTGATCCAAAACTCAAGAAAAATGTGGCCACAATTATGGAATTCTGGTTACATTTTCTACGGTTCTCTTATACGTCTATTTTACTTTATTATATGTATCTTATTATCTTGCTGTGGTTGTACCAGTAGATATTTAGAATGATTTATATAATTTTTTGCTTTTTGTTCATAATAGAGGCGTGTATAGCACCAAAGTTGAAGTCGAGGCGCTAAAGTGCGCTTCATATGAACCCGGGAAGCAAAATTTAAACCATTTAAGGTATGGTAAGAGCGATGTGAGAACGATTGTTTTTCAATTGAGTGGTTGACGGTTCAATTCTCTGTGGTAATCATATACCTATGATTTTAATTTCTAAGTCAAACGTACTCATGCATTGTTGAATGTTTAGTAGCAATACCTCTAGCAGACGATAAAGGAAAATGGTTCACATCCCTTAGATAACTCATTAAGTCTCCAACCGTCATTACGCCAGTGTGGCAGACTATAGCCTAACCCACTCCTTAGGGAAATCCAGGCCTAGTAGTAAAACGTATCTTATGTACACGTATCGTATAATGGTGAAGAGGGTATGGTTTTGTAGTATAAAATAGTTTACAATTTTTGTTGATTGATTTTGATGACTTGGAAAACCTTCACTATGTACATAAATCGACAACACTGCTTATCAAAGTCAGTTTGTGAAATGGAAAGAAGGTATTTAGTAAGAAGGTATAGTTTCCACCAATAGACAGAAAAAGGTTTAAGTCATTGATCTACAATGGTTTAAGTGTATACTTAGGTTTTGTGTAAGTTGACTGAAATATGACGATAAATGTTGAAGATGTCGGCAAAAATCATGCCGGCCGGGCGCTTTACTGGCGAGCACCCCGTAAAGTAACAGAGATTTATCAAATCAATGTTCTTGAAAATTGTAAGTCTTAAAAAGGCCTTCACAAAAGTCTGCGACATACATCCATTATGCAGTTAACCAGATAAGTGCTGAGAAAGGGGCGGCTGGTACTAACTACATAGCTTGGGGCCTATATAGGGCGGCCAAGGCTGCAAATCCGCCACTGCTTTCAAAAACTTGAATTTGAAAACCCATTTATATTAACTATAGAGTATTCGTTTATGTTTATTTCACCCTTCCATCCAATTATTTAGTATTTTATTACATTATTACACTGTGTAGTTAAAACGGAAGCAATTACAAACGAGGTGGCATTCGAATTGTAGAAACCCAATATTTGTAATTGTTTTTCAAATTTTTTCAAATTCAAATTCAAAATAATCTTTATTTCATAGGTAAGCATTATTACACTTGAAATCGTCACAATGGTTAAACTCTACCGCTCATTCGTAAGGCAGATTCCCCTGAGAAGAATGAGCAAGAAACTCTAGGGGTTGCTCTTTGTAAATAACATTACAATAACATATACAATATATTTTTTTTATTTGAAACATCAGAGATCGAGACTACTTCCATGAGCTAAACGGGTTACTACCACGGATTTTTGTCATCCAAGTACGCAGAAGTTGTATCATAACCTTTAGTATAAATACTAATAATAATAACCTACTAATAACCTTTAGTTTTTGTTTCACTATAGTTTTAAACCTCGTGAAAGGCAAATTTTGTATATCTACCGGAATCTTGTTATAGAAGCGTATACATTACCCCTTAAATGATTTTTTGACTTTGTGAAGACGACTATCAAGAAAAGCTAGTTTATTTCTATTCCTCGTATTAATGTTATGTCTGTCACTATATTTCATAAATAAATTACTGTTTCTTTTAACATAAATTACATTTTCATAAATGTACTGTGAGGCTAGTGTAAGAATGTTAATTTCCTTAAACTTATCTCTCAAAGATACTTTGGGGTCCAGATTGTAAATTGCCCTAACTGCACGTTTCTGCAGGACAAAGATTCTATTGATATCGGCGGCATTACCCCAAAGCAAAATGCCGTATGTCATTAGACTGTGAAAGTAGCTGAAGTAAACCAATCTCCGCTAGATTCGACGTCTGAAAGTTTCCTTATTTTTTTAATCGCGTAAACTGCAGAGCCGAACCGTTTTGATAACTTACTTATATGGGGACCCCATTGCAATTTAGCATCTAACGTTATACCTAGAAATACAACTGTATCCACAAGATTCAATTTTTCGTTTCTAACTACAATGTTTGTAACGGTCTCTCTAATATTGGGTAATGTAAATTTCACACAATTAGTTTTTTTCTCATTAAGAAGTAGGTTATTAACAGCAAACCAACCAACTACTTTAGATATAGCATTGTTCACATCGTCGTAGGAACATTGGTACCTTTTAAATTTAAATAATAAGGAAGTATCATCAGCAAACAATACTATCTCATGTTTTATACCCTCCATAAGGCTAGGTAAGTCATTAATATAAACTAAAAATAAAAATGGGCCTAGAATTGAACCTTGAGGGACACCCATGCTAATTGCAGATCCTGACGATCTCTGTACCCTACCACGCAAATACGATTTAAGAAGGCCGAGATCACGTTCCGCCACACCATAATGGCGAAGTTTCCTGACCAGTGTATCATGGTGCACACAATCAAAAGCCTTGGAAAGGTCACAGAATACACCAATAGCATCATGTGAGACTTCCCATGCATCAAATATATGATTAATCAACTCGACACCAGCATCGGTTGTAGAGCGACCCCGAGTGAAACCAAATTGTTTAGGAGACATTAAGTTATTACTATAAAAATGTGCACACATCTGATTTAGAATAATTTTTCAAATATTTTACTGAGAGTTGGTAATATTGATATAGGTCTGAAATTGGTGGGGTCAGAAATACTACCAGATTTGAAAAGTGGAATAACTTTACTTTGCTTCATGAGGTCAGGAAAGACACCATCATCAACACATTTATTAAAGACACAGGCTAAATAAGGCGCAATACTATCAACTATAGAACTAATTACTCTGACTGAAAGACCATCAAGATCAGCAGTATTTTTTATGTTTATAGACTTAAAGGCTTTAACAATATCGTTTGGAAATACATGACGGAACCTTAAATTAGTGATACTAACTGCATTATTTTCTTTTAGTAAGGATTCAGCGGCGGTGGGAGATGAATTTAACGACTTAGTAGTCAAAATTGTCAGTAAAAAAATTTTCAAATATTTTAGCAACTTCTGCGTCTGTGTTTACAATTTTGTCATTAAATCTTAGTTGAAAATCTAAGTTACGAGGTTTGACCTTTCCAGTTTCGCTGTTTATAATATTCCAAGTCGTTCAGCTTGTAAAACACTCCTAAAGCAATTCTTGTAGTAGTAGAGCTCCGGAAAGAGTTCGTCCAGAGAAATTCTGCCATCATACTTATTTACTATAGGCACATCGGACTTGTCAACTTTGTCTTAAGGTGACGGGCGCAGTGGCAGTGACCGAATTACGTGAGATTAAAGTTCTGGATGGCACTGCAACTGTTATGTACAGGCGTATCGCTTACTACCAGGCGTACGACTTTTTCGTCCCGTCATGTCATAAAAAAAAAATGTTTTCATTGTACATACTTATTGTTTGTTTGGTGTTGCATCATTTAGCATAGATATTGTCACTTCAACCTATCTATGTTTTAATATAGATAAGTTGACTTGGTGTCAAGAATATCATTGAGCGGGCGCTCACAAATTTGCTTTTAGTTTACGTTTAGTTTGGGTTACATGACGTCACATGATAAAAGTTTGTTATTATTTTGAATTTTAGGAGTGCATACTATACTACGCGCGCGCCCTTTATGCCATTGCAAATTGGATTTCTCGGTGAGCGACCAGAGAACACAAACGATCAACGCTTAATGCAATTAATAAAGGTGAATTATTTTTTTCTTTTTTATCGGATGTGATATTGATATCCGTGTAAATAACATCTGGCGTGATCGACCATATGAACAATGAGTGGTCGGCTCTGAGACACGCAGAACAAAGAACAAGACCACTGATGGTGGAAAGACACGGAAAACCCTACGTTCAAAAATTTACCACCATTAGGTTATAAATATCAATATTTGTAATATATAATAATAATATTAATAATAATATAATAATAATATTATATAATAATATAATAGCTGTCTTACTTAGCGTGTCAGACTAATGAAATTAACCCGTGTCTGAATCAATTCAGACCACGAAGTTCTTGAAATTATTCTGATTCACCCGTCTAACTTGTCTTATTTCATTTAATAGAATATAAAAACCATAGAAATCGACAATTGTAAGGCGGAGCATCTGAACATCACTACAACACTGAATATTTCACCAAAAGTAAGTATTTTCTGAATCCCCATGTGTATGTATTCAGAAATGTTATGACTTTCTCAAAAAGTATTTGATTTAAAAATTCATTTGTCGTTTTTCAGTATGCGCTTTAATAAGCGTATAAAAATAGTTTTACTTTAGGGTTCTTAAAAGGACTTTTTTACATTTTTCAATATCATGATGTATTTACTGACAGAGCTCTTCCGGCTCTATCAATAAATGACAACAATGAAATGAGAAAAATGAAAACAACTGATTTTAATATTTTAATAAAGATCTTTATTAAAATATACCCAAAACAAATTACGTGAAAAAAAAAACACAACTTGACATGAAGAGAGTTCTACGACGTAACAAAGTAAATTTGAAAAAGAATAACTCTCAATGTCACGTCGGCTAGTATATACTCTCTGATACTCTTCCTCAATTATTTACACCTGGTTTTCCTTATACTATCAAAAAACCTTCTCAGTTATGAACACTCAGTACACACCCATTTCTCTACGGCAAAACTCATACTTGCCCTTTAACACTACTTTCGTTAAAGCATCAGCAACCATGCACTTGGTTTCTAAA